AAAAAAATGAATTGCTTTAAAAAAAAATACTGTCTTTCATTAAGACGAATAATAATTTTAAAAGAGTGTCTTTGATTTCACAAAAAAAAAGGGAGTAAGTGAAAACAAATTCCCACTTGTTCCAGGATGAAAAACTGAAAGCAAATTAAGTCCCTGATTGTGTCTGCTTCTGTCGAGATTCCCAGCCTCGGAGACCCTAAGGGGCAGCTCTGTTCTGTCTTGCACGGTCACAGGGAGCTGGGACTGACTTGATGGTCAGAGGGTTTGCTCAGACTCTGCCTGTTTGACCCCACACCAGGGTCATCGATGGACACAACTTGCTGTCTTTGCTCCAAGGTTCCAGCCAGCACTCGGCACACGAGTTCCTGTTCCATTACTGTGGCAAACATCTCCACGCGGCACGTTGGCACCAGAAAGAGAGTGAGTATTGCCCTCTGCCCTCTACAGTCCGAATGGACGCTGTTGTCAGGCCAGAGTGGACGGGGCCACACGCCCACAGCACCAAGAGGCAGGAGCCTGGGCCTGGACCACCACGTCCGCCCATCAGACTGCTCTGGAAAACACATCTAGGGAATGTGACAAGATCAATTCGTGTTTGCCTCCTGGTCTCAAAGTGGCTGCTGTAGCTCCGGACAGCACACAGACACACCAGGGAACAGGGAGTGTGTTTTGTGTATCTATATACGTATAGATACAAATGCGTGTATATCCACACAGATACACACGCAGTGGCTCAAACTTACGGTGTGTGCGCGCATCTGGGAGATGGCTATGAGACATAAATCAACAAAACTGCAAGGCCATTTCTTTTTAGGTTTTGGTTGCAGTAAATAAGAAAACACATGTGTGGATATAAAAATACAGATGATATAGATAGATATATGGAGGGAGAGAGAAAGAGAGAAATTATCGATATGCATGATACAGATATAATTATTGTTTGAATCAAGTATGAGTCATAGCGATCGTATGAACAAAAAGGTCTGAAGCCTCTCTATAACTATCACCATTTATCAAAGTTCATAGAATCTCCAGAGGTATGTTGCTTTTATATAGACATACACACATATATACACGCGAATATATACACCCACATATACATATATATATATACACACACATATATATATGCATTGTTGTTGTTGTTGTTATGTGCCACCGAGTCATTTGCAACTCATAGCAACCCTACGTACAAGAGCTCTAAACGCCGTTGTATCCTGTACCAACCTCGCCGTCTCAAACACGTTCATTCCCACCACTCCACTCATAGAATCGATCTATCTCATCGAGGGTCTTCTTCTCCTGCACTGTCCCTTCACTCTCCCAAAGATTCATTCTCCATGGACTGGTCCCTCCTGGCGATGTGACCAAAGTATGTCAGATGAAGCTTCAGAATCCTTGACTCCAGGGAACATTCTGGCTTCACCTTCTCCAGGACAAACGTGTTTGTTCTCCTAGCAGTCCATGGTATATTCAACACTCTTCTCCAGCACCACAGCTCAAAGGCATCAATTCTCTTTCTATCATCTGTATTCACTGTCCAACTCTCCGATGCACAGCACGGAATTGCAATGACTATAGCCCGGGTCAGGCGCACCTTAGTCTCCAGCCTGACGTCGTTGCTCTTCAGTACTCTTCCCTCACAGCCGACCTTCCCAATGCAATTCGTCTCCTGATTTCCTGGCTGCTGGTACCAAGAATGTTGACTGTGGAGCCAAGCAAACTATACACACACACACACACACACATATACACACATATATGTACATATATATACACACACACATATATATACATACACATGCATATAGATACACGCATATATACATACACATAGATATACACATATATCACACCTATATACACATACATACATCTATATACATATATACATACACATAGACATATATACATGTATACACATAATCACACACACACACACACACACACACACACACACATATATATTTGGAAGCAGGAGAGGCATCCACTTCTTAAATAACGTGCCTCTGGAAACTATGAACTTCAATAAATGTCGACAATTGAAGAGGGGCTTTGGGCCTTTTGTTCATGGGTCAAAATGAATCGTGCTTGACTCAAAGGTAATCAACAACGAGAGAGAGAGGAGAGAAGGAGAGAGATGAGAGGAAAGAGAGAGACCCGAGTGTGTATAAACTCTTAAACACACACATATATGTGTCTGTGTTTACGTACATATATATAGAGACACAGTTGTACATATACAGTCTGTGGCTTCTGTCTGGTTGGTGCTAACATATAGTAATCACGCATCAGATTTCTCAAACTATATATAAATATTTCCTGGAGAAAATGGTCCATCTTTCTCCCAAGGAGAGGCTACTAGGTTTGAACCAGTGAAGTTGAGGAGACAAACAGATGGTGCACCTTCTGAGCACCTTCTTCAGAGCTCTGCTGGCACTGAGGGGGACACCCTCAGCTGGTCACCACAAGGTCAGGGGTTTGAAGCCACCAGCCGATCCGAGGGAGAAAGCTGAGGCCGTCTGCTTCAGGAGACCCCATGGGGCAGCTCTGCTCTGTCCTAGACGGTCACTGAGAGTTGGAACCGACCTGGTGGGAGTGAGTTTTTATTTTGTGATTATTCTTTCCCCCCATCCTTCTAACCTCCAGGTGGAAGGCTCTGGAAGGTGCATTATATGACTCCCAAGTTCCATCCTGAAGGCACAGGAGGCTGCTATGGCCAGGGTGTGTGTCCCTGCTCCGGACCGGGTGTGACCGTCCACAGCCCTCCTTTGCTTTTCGACCTGTCCCAGGACCCCTCAGAGACGCATCCTTTGACCCCCAGCTCGGAACCCTTGCACGACGAGGTGCTGGCCAGGGTGGACAAGGCGGTGAAAGCCCATCTGCGCACAGTCAGCCCGGTGCCCCAGCAGTTCTCAGCTGGCCACATCATGTGGAAGCCGTGGCTTCAGCCTTGCTGTGGGACCTTCCCATTCTGCTCCTGCACTGAGGACGGACGTGAGGACGTGGGTGTCACCCCCCAAGGGTCAGCTCTATGAGTGGGGAGACCTGGGGCATGCACCGGTTACACGGTCCCTCAAGTCCACTCTACTCCTAACATCCCATGTGCCCAGGACAGAGTCAAACAGTGCCCAAAGGGTTAGAAACCTTTGACTTAGTTTTCCAGACAGTGAGGGCCAGGCTTTTATTGTGTGGCCCCTCTAAGATGGCTTGTTTTGTTGCTTTTATGTGCCATCGAGTCACCTGCGACGCATAGCAACCCCTATGTACAACAGCCCTAAACCCTGCTCTGTCCTGAGCCAATCTGTCTCCGGCACACCTACCCCCATGACCCCTGTCACGGAATCAATCCACCTCATAAAGGCTCTTCCTCTCTTGCACTGTCCCTCCACCCTCCCAAGCATGACCTCCTTCTCCATGAAGATTGAGTATTTGAAACAATTTGAATCGATAAAACTTTAAAGCCTGTTTAATGAATAACCCAGCCACCCTCTCTACCATCCTAGCCAATACCCAGCCAGGTTTAAAAAAAGCTGTTCCCATTCTATCTTACCTAGCTATTCCCCTGCTTGGAATATGTCCTGAGAAAATTAGAAGGGAGACACAGAGATTTGCACACCAATGTTCATAACAGCGTTATTCACCATCGCAAAAGCAAGGACACAGCCCAGATGTCCACAACCACAAGCAAATAACAGACTGAAAAATTGTACATTTACACAGAGGGATACTATGCAGCACGCAGGAGAAATTATTTTTAAAATGACTGCATGGTGGGAGGGGTGGGCACGGAGAAAAGTGCAACAATGAATGACTGGAAACCCTAAGTGTCTGTAAATTTTCATTTAGATTAATTTTAAAAAGAAAAAAATTTTAAAAAGACTGCATACTTTGGGAGGGAGTGGAGAGCACTGAACTAACTCAGACTTATAAGGTCAAATACTGCACAAAACCTTGATTGTAGAAATAGAAAGATAGCTAGTAAAAACGGTAGGAGAATCCACAAAAGGGGGGAAGAGACAGAACAGAGGGCTGAGAATGGGCAGGGGCTACGCACAAAGTCACACCATTGGATGGGTAGAGGGAGGGGTGGGTAAAGGAAATAGGAAAGATTCGGTGTGAAGCACAATGGATATTAAGGTTGAAAGTAAAGCAATGGAAAAATAAAAACTTATTTTGTGCAACAATGAATAAGTGGAAATCCAAAATCTCTGTAACTGTTCATTAAAATAATCTTAAAAAAAAAAGATAAAAAAAATTGCATGTAACCTCTGACACCCAAAACTTTAGTCATTTAAGTTTCTTGGGTAGAATGAAGCAGGCTCTCCTTTCCCTTTTGCTCCCTTTTTTTAATTTAACGAATAAAAGGACCTTTCTTCATTTCTTTTTTTTCCATTGCTGGTTTAGCTCCTCCCAATACCCTGGGAGGATTCGAACCTCCAACCTCCCGGTGAGCAAGCTGAGTGTTTGTACACTTGCACCAGCGGGGATGCTAGACCAGCCTCTCTGCATGTGCCCTGGGTGGTGGGTGGCGCCCCCGCGTGTGCGGGAGGGGAACTGCATGCTGCTGGGTTCTTGGGAAGGAGACAGCCAGGCCTTTACTCTGCGGTACCTCTGGGACAACTCCACCTTTAACTTTTGCATTTAAACAGCTAGGCTTGTGGGGGTGTGGAGTGCCTGCCCCTAATCCTTACACCCAACCCTTTCCTGAGGGAGGCAGAGCTGGGTATCAGCTCCTAGGAATAGCCCTTTTATAGAGATTCTCATCCCAAACGGAGATTCTCACTCCAAATAAGAGATTCTCACCCCAAATCTGTTTCCTGACTTAGATAAGGGCCACTGGAGAGTCCTGAGGTGCTGTTCAAAGTCCTTAAATTTACAGTAAAAGGTGCTTCAAGAAAGTTCCATTCCTGATAAGATTACAGGTGTAAAACCAGGTGAACTGGTCATGCAGGTTTTTTAAGACCAGGGGGCTGGGGCAGCCCTCCCTTAATCGTTCAGGGGAAAAGTCCTGGAACTTGCCTGGGCTGCAATGGCCCAGTGTCTTCCTGCAGAGACAGGGCATTGGGGTCCTAGGAGTGGAGTGACTCTGGGCCTCCAGCACAAGTGTGCAAATTCACTCTCTTAAAAAAAGCATCACCCACTATACTGGGCAGAAAGAGACCTTTTTGAATTTCTGACCGGATTTTAAAAGAGTAATTTCTTACTCCAAAGTTAATCGTGCAGACTTTGCAGAAGACCACTCACTCGTCAACCCCCGAACCAGGCTAGATTCTCTGGCTTTTCACCCACCCACCCATTCCCCTAGAAATGTTTCTCATTATTCACTTTTGTTTGTTGTTAACTATCTTCAAGTCCCCTAGGACTCAGCAATCCTAGTAACAATGGATCTGTTGTTGTTATGCGCCATCAAGTCGCCTGTGGCCCTGCAGACAACAGCTCTGAGCTCTGCTCTATCCTGAGCCAGTGTCACTGACTCTGACACACCTACCCCGCCTTGCCCCTGTCACTAAGTCCATCCATGTCTGTCTCTGACCCTCCACCTTCCCCGACAGCAGATTTGCTCAATGCCAAACCTTTCTAATTCTTAACTTGGGGCTTCATTTTCTCATAGAGGTGGTAATGCTGTGCAGGAAAGAACCATTTAGACAGGATGCTGTTTAGATCCATCTGTGTCTTTTATATTTCTCCCCCATGGAGGTTTTATCAGCTTTCTCCCATATTCCTGATTTCCTTTCCTCCACCAGATGATGGACACAGTGACTGGAGCCAAGGGCTCAAGCGTGTCAGAAAAGGTGAGACGGGCCCAGGACAGGATTCTTTATGGGCATCTCACACCTGCATGCACTTGCTTCCCTCTGGTGTCTGGATGCACTATTTCATCAGGACAGGGGTAGCAGAGGCAGCCGGATAACAAAGGACACAGAGTGTGAGCCCAAAAGGCTGTCCTGATGGAATTTCTCTTTGTCCCAGGATTCAGAGACAGAAAGGAAGACCTTCTGTGAAAGTGATGGACACAGTGACCACAGAGCAGCGCAAGACCGGACAGGGGTCAGAGCTGTGGTTCACAGGGCCGCAGAGTCATATATACTAGGCTTCACACCAATACTATATTTGCATAATAAAGGAGAGTTTATAGGAGACCTGGGGCACCAGCCATGAGAAGAATGATGGTTTCTGCAAATCAAGTTTATCAGGCTAGATGTTAAACTGTTAGGTGCCATCGAATTGCCTGCGACCGTTAAGTATAGCGGCTCTGAAGCCTGCCCTGTCCTGAGCCCGTCTCACTGACTCTAACACAGCCACCCCAATGGCCCTAGTTAGTTATTAAGGCATCTCATCCAAATCTTCTTCTCCTGCGCTGTCCGTTCCAAGCATCACGTTCTCCTGCAAGGAGCAGTCCCTCCTGGCCTTGTACCCAAAGTATATGAGACGGAGCTTCAAAATCCAAGCATCCACGGAGAAACTTGGCTTCTTTCAGCCTCTCCAAGACAGACCTACAATCCAACTCATGGTCTTCCTCAGTTTCTCCGGCCCAGCCCCCTTCACCACCTGGATGTGTTTTTGTGTCAAACTTCCAAAGTCTGACCTTTCCTGACAACAAACCCAGAATATGTGACACCAAGCTGCAGCCTCCGGGCTTCTCTCTCAATCAACACGTGCTCAAATAGTGGGACTTGTTTGTTCTTTTGGACAGTCCATGGGATACTCGGCCCTCCACTCCAATGTCCAGTTAAGCTGACCACAGCAGGAGCTGCCCGGGTTAAAAGAATGTAAGCGAAAAGAATGTCCTCAAAGAGAACAGTCTACCTTCAGATGTGCAAAACCTTGATTCTCCTGCTGATCTTGCCTTCTGATCCAGGTGTGCTTACAAGAGACAGGGAAGTTTCATTTGTAAATTTCGCTAGTCGTCATCTAAGACTCAATGACACTTAACGACGACTCAGTGACACTTAACGACATCAAATCTCAACACACCACGTCTGTCTTCCGATCTCTTGACTGCTGTTGCCAAGACCTGGGGAGGGTCTACTCTCCACTCTCAAAGTTCCTTCTCCACTGGGAAATGAGGAGGGTAGTGACGCCTACTTCAAATAGAAAGTCTGACCATGTGCTGAAGGTGGGGGGCAGTGGTGGGAGCACTGGAACTGGGGGGGGTCCTGTCCCTGGGTGTGGCCTTCAGTAAGGAATAGGGTCCAGGGGTTTTTGGTAAAAGGTATGCCATGCAGCCCCTGCGAAGAGCCGTCTGGCCCCCAGGGACAGTGGTTCTGGCCTTGGGGTGAGCCATCTGGCCCTCGGGGTGTGTTGCCCAGCTCTCAAAATGTGCCTAGGGCTAGCTGATTGGCCCCTTGTGAGAATCTTGTCCCCAGGAAGAGCCGTTCAACCCCTGGAGTGAACCATCCAGCACTCAGGGTGTGGGGGTCCTTCCCTTGCAAAGAGCCTTCACGCTGCTAGGAAAAACTTCCTGGGGTAGACAAAGATTTTTATCTAACACACTTTCCTCTACCTTTTCCCCTAGTACACCAGTACATAACACCTCCAAAGCCCTTCCGTTTGTAACATAAAACTTGGTTCTCTCTAGGATTGCTTCCTTTCCTATAGTTTAACATTAACACTGAGTTTTACTCCAGGCCTGAGCCCAGAACCTACTTCCAGGGACAAGAAGGGAAATAGAACTGACACCTAAGGACTTGGAAGGAGAACTGAGCCTCTGGTTGCAGCCAGTCTATCCCAATGACATCAACAACCCCTGTTTAGTATGAAGAAGCCAGAGAGTAGGCGCCCCGTTTCCAAATGAGAAAGGCACAAGTCAGACAATTTGTTTAAAAAAAAATTTAATCACCATTGGAATATGCTTACCATGAACCGGTCTCTTCTGGTCCCCACTGGACCTTTCTCATTGCCAACGCTTCCCCACCCAGCAAATTGTGCAACTCTACAATTGCATGCCCGCCTAGCCTCACTCTTCTGCTCACAAGTCTCACCTCCTTGTACCCTCATCTGTTTCCAAATTTTTTTAAAAAAAAGGAAAAAATAGGGAACAACTTTCATGTCTTATTCTTGTTTTCAAGAATAATGTTACCGTCTTTCCACTGAAAACAATGTTGTCTGAGGGGCCTTGAATATTATGAGGACAAAAATGAAACACACAAAAATTAAACAACAACAAAACACCACACCTGTGGAATTACACACTGATATCCTCTCTAAAGGAATTTTTTTCTTTTAATGTGGAAGCTCTGTCTTGATTTCGTCCAATGTGTTCTCCTTCTACATGTCTTTGTTCTGTAGCTCCCTGTCAGTTTGGACAAGGAGCACGTGTTAGGACATCCGTCCACGTGCTCCATGCTTTCCAATGGACTGGACTGTAAATTTTCAAGATCACGTGGTGGAGTTGACCAGGACAAATGAATAAACAGGGACACCAAAAATGAGAAGGAATGCACATCCAGAAACTTCTCTAACAGGGTAAAAAGGGAAGCCACAGACTGGGAAAAAGTGTTTGGTAACGACATGTCAGATAAGGGACTTATATCTAGAATTTATAAAATACTCGAGCACCACAACAAGATAAAGGAGAATAATCCAGTAGAAAAATGGGCACAGGATATGAACAGACACTTCACCAAAGAAGACATTCAGATGGCCAACAGCACATGAAGAAATATTCAAAATCCTTAGCTCTAAGAGAGATGCAAATCAAAACAACTATGAGATCTCATCTCACCCCAGTCAGAATAGCAACATTTAACAGAACAGCAAGCAACAAATACTGGCGAGGTTGTGGAGAAACTGGAACCCTTATTCACTGCTGGTGGGAATGTAAAATGGTGCAACCACTGTGGAAGGCAGTAGGGCGCTTTCTCAAAAAGTTGCAAATAGAGATACCATTTGACCCAGCAATTCCACTACTGGGAATATACCCCAAAGAGACCATAACTGACATCCAAACAGATATATGCACACCCATGTTTATCGCAGCTCTGTTCACAATAGCAAGGAGTTGGAAATAACCCAGGTGCCCATCAACAAACGAATGGATAAAGAAGCGGCGGTATATTCACACAATGGAATACTATGCTGCATTGAAAACCAAGGAACTCATGCAATATTATTCAAAATGGGTGACCTTGGAGAACATTATGCTGAGTGAAGTATCTCAGTCACAAAAGGACAAATATTGCACGGTGCCACTGTTGTAAAATGGGACTGATATCAGGGTGGGGGTAAGACTGACAAAAACTGGATAAATTGTGTATACTGCACTGAAACAGATGAGGGACTGAATAATTTAAAAGCAATGCATGACAGGGTATTATGGTTATCACAAGAGTCCACAATTAAGGTTGCATCGTGGAATGGACTTGGGGAGGTGGGAGGGGTGCGGGGGATTGTGTACCAGGGAGAGAGTCTTTCTTTTACTTTTGAAAGAGAGGAGCAAACTGGGGGGCAGGGGGAGAGGGCTGGGCGGGGAGAGAAGTGCAGCAATGAATGAATGGAAATCTAAATTCTCTGTAAATGTTCATTAAAATTATATTAAAAAAAAAGAAATACTAAAAAAAAATGAGAAGAGACTGAAGGCAGGGGGCAAACAGCTGCAAGACTGCTGTCCTAAGCCCAGTCTCCCTCCGTAGCCTTTATACAGAATTTCCAGGAGAAAAGACACAGAGACAACACCTTCCTAATGAAGCTACGTTTTTCTCTAACATAATTTTGCAGATCTCAGGAAGGACAACTTCACGAGGACAAGCTGGGTGGCAGCAGGCACCACTGGGTGTAGCAGGAGTGCCTATGTATTTTGTTATGTCTCAGGAGAAATACCTCTGGGATTTTTCTCATCAGTCACAAGAGGAATCCTAGTTGGTTTTGTGCCTCCTTCAGTTCCTGATCAAGCCATTGGATCCACATTTGGCCCCCTCACAGGGTGGTTTTGATGCATCGTAAAATGTCTTACTTAGATTCAATGCACCACTTCCTTCCTAGCTTTGGTCACAATTCCCAGGGGCTACTCAATGCCAATCATCCTTTCAAAACACAGCTTGCACTTTTACACATTCCTCCAACTTTGAGGAGGCTACTGGCCTAGAGGGTATGAAGCTACATGGTGGATTGAAAACCTTGGGGAATTAATCGACCAGCTACTTTAAGGGAGAAAGAAGGATAGTCTCTCTCTTCCAGTGTGATTTACCCCCACTTGAAAATTAGATAGGTCGACTATACGTCCATCCTGAGCCAACAGTGTAGAACGTTTAACTAAGTCATTCATGAATCTTTACTTCTTTTCTTCTGGAGACAGTGTGGGTGTTTCTCTTCCATTTTGCAGTATTTTCACAATGCAGGGTGACAGTATTCATTGCGGCCTTTTCGTTTCTTCTGAGTTTTCTATTTCCCTTGCTGTCTGTGTCCGGCTTTTCCAAGGACACGAAAGTTTTGTGGGAGTGTGTCATCCTCGTTTCGTTCCAGGAATTTCTCGGCTTGCGAAATTTTTAACATCACCACCCAGGAGCTCGCCTAAAGGTGGCTATTCAGTCTGCCTCCCTGGGAGCTACCTACGCATCATCAGTTGGAATGTGGGAGATGAGGTGTGACAACAGCCTGCAGGCCTTGCTACAACGCCAGCACTGGGAGGGCCTCTCCTGGGCGTGAATATGGAGGCGCTTGGTGAGAGCGGCGGCTGACGGCCCTTCCCACGGTCCTGGCACAAGAACAGCCGTTCCCCAATGTGTGTCTGTCTGTCTGTGTGTTTAGGTGGGAGGAGTGGCTGAAGGATTTCCCACACTCCGTGCACGGACAGGGCCACTCTCTGCTGCGCGTCTGTCTGTGTGTGTGTTAAACAGAGAGGAGTTGCTGACGGTTTTCCTCCATGCCTTGCAAACAAAGGGCTTCTCTCCTCGGAGCTTCTGCATGTGGTGATAGAAAGGACTGAGGAATTCCTCCAGGATTCGCATCAATGCTTGCTTGGGTCCGGCCCCTCGCGGCTGTGAGTTCTCCTGTGCCTGACGAGCACCGAAGAGTACTTGAAGGCTTTGCCGCAGTCCGTACAGGCGAACGGCCTCTCGGCACTGTGTGTCCGGCGGTGTGAGATGAGGCTGGACGAGCAGCCGAAGGTTTTCCCACAGTCCCCGCACGTGTACGGCTTCTCCCCGCTGTGCGTCCGGCGGTGCACCGTGAGGTGTGAGGGGCTGCTGAAGCTTTTCCCACACTCCTTGCACGTGCAGGGCCTCTCCCCGCTGTGCGTCCTCGCATGCACGGAGAGGTGGAAGGAGCACGTGAAGGTTTTCCCACACTCCTGGCAGGCGTACGGCTTCTCCGCACTGTGCGTCCTGCGGTGCACCGTGAGGTGGGAGGAGTAGATGAAGGTTTTCCCACACTGCTCGCACGCGTAGGGCCGCTCCCCGCTGTGCGTGCGTGCGTGCGTTCTGAAGGACGAGCAGAACCTGAAGGACTTCCCGCACTGCTGGCACACGTAAGGCCTGTCCCCGCTGTGAATTCTCCTGTGCGTCGTGAGGTAGGAGGAGCGACTGAAGGTTTTCCCACACACCTCGCATGCCACGGGCCTCTCCCCGCTGTGCGTTTCCATGTGCTGTTTCAGGAAGGAGGATTTGCTGAAAGATTTCGAGCACTGCTGGCATGCGTACGGCCGCTCGCCGGTGTGAGTTCGCGTGTGCTCGCTGAGCAGAGAGGGGAATCTGAACGCTTTGCCGCACTCCTTACAGGTGAAGAGCCTCTGTCTGTGCGAGGTGAGGTGGGAGGACAGACTGGAGAGTTCGTTCCTGAACGAGGGGCATCCAAGACACTGCAGATCGGGGAGTGCAGCCTCCACGGGACCCTTCAGAGCTGACGTACACAAGAACTCCTTCCCACACGCCTGGCACCTGTGGGGTCTCTTCACGCCCAGAGCCCTCACGGCACTGGTGAGGACAGAGGGACAGTTGCAGGCTTTGCTGCAGTCCGCACACTGACATGCCGGACAGCTGGTGTGGAATCGGTTCTGATGAGTGTGGGGCGAGGGGTCGGAGAAGACGTCCCCACACTCACAGCATGTCAAGACATTCCTGTCTGGGGGGCTGAACTGTTGCAGCACAGGTAAAGGGGGGATCTGGCCAGACATCAACCCAGAGCTGGAGTCTTTGCTAGTCACCTCAGGTTTCTCTCCTCCACGGCGTCTGTTTAAAACAGGGATGGTACTGCAGGAGAGGGGGAGGAAAAACAAGAATTCCCATCTCACTTTTAGTAAAAGCACTCATAGGACACGATTTCTGTCTTGAATTTTAATGTTTCACAGCTTAGATCATCTGGAGGGGGTGATAAAACAAGTGTTGTATTGTGCTTTTCCCAAACTTGGAGACTCTATGGTACGTGTGTTGATGTGAAAGATGCTTTAAATACCGCAGTGTGGCTGAGATGGATAATAAAGGTTGGGCTAGGAATAGGAGAGATTCAATAAGGACTCTTGAAACAAATGAGAACAGATCCACAGTAACAATAATAAGGAAAGATTAATCATAACTAATCATCTAAAATATAAAGTGTGTTGGGTGTTTTCTTGCCTGGAGGCTGTCCTGCAATCTTGAAGGCCAGTGGTTTGAATAAACACAGAGGCAGTGAGTAGACAGAGATGGTGGGCAGGGGAACCCAGGACCACATGAAATCAGAAGCAGGATTGAAAAGAGCGACTGGGACCGGGGTTCCTGCACGCAGAAATTCCTCAACATGGTGGAAGGCCAAGATACACCATCCCGAAGGAATGCTGGGCCCAAGGAAAGGAAGGAAGCCTGGCCGTTACTGTAAGGACCATCAGAAGAAAACCTTCCCCAAGACAAATGGCTTCAATGTGGATTTCCATCCTCCCAAACTGTGGAAGGATTCACTGACTGGAGTGGTCACTCAGGTCAGTCACACTTGCTGCTCTTAGGTGCCTTCAAGTCACGGATCTGAGCCCTAACCTGTCCTGCACTATCCTGACATGCTCCACACCGGGGCTGGAGGGACACTGTTCATCCATGTCGTGGACAGTCTGGGTCTGTCTCTCTCTGACCTTTTCCTGCATGATGTCCTTCTCCAAGGACTGTCCCCTTCTGACAAGACGCCCAACGTCTGTGAGACCAAGTCAACCAAGGCCTCCCTCTAAGGACCAACCCCGTTTGCAGATCCTCCAAGACGCCCTTGCTTGTTCTCTGTGCGGTCCATGGGATACTCTGTCCTCTTGTCCAGCACCACAGCTCAAAGGCAGCAAGCCTTTTGTCATCCTTACTCACTACCCAACGCTCAGATGCACAGCAAGGAACTGAAATGTCCATGGCTTGGCTCAAGGACACATCCCTCTTTGGATCAAGCACACTTGACCCTCAGAACGCACATCTCTGCTCTTGAGGACTTTGAAAAGGGGCCTCTGACCACACAATTCCAATGCACGGTCCAAACCACAGGACGTGCCCACCTGCCCGTGGTGTCCCTGTCCAGCACCACTGGAGGACTGAGACGCACACACACCCGTGTGACCTGTCACAGAAGCACTGGAAAATAGAAACACACATATGTGTAGGATTTCAGCGAGAACAGCACCGAGTAAGCAAGACACCCTCAGATTTTGTCTGTAGGGAGAAACACGGAAAGAGGTCCACTGAAAACTTGGTGACCAGCCCTGAGGCCGTGTGTGCTGGGACGGCCATGCCATCTCACGTGGATCCGGACGGTTTCAGGAGCCTGATGTGGTTACGAGTGCAGGTACACTGATGTTCTCCTGTGTGTTCTCTCACGATCCTGAACCTGGAGCCTTTCACCTGAGGCTCAGGCTGTCTCTGCTTGAAGGGACACTCACCTGACACGTCCGTCTTGCTTTCCATACTGACCACGACGCCCCTTTGCCCTGGACACGCCCCCACGCACGGACAACCGCGAGTTCCTCTTCCCAGATGACCGGGAGTTCCTCTTCCCTGATGACCGCGAGTTCCTATTCATCAAAGGCCCCGGGACACGCTCACTGGACACATTTTCTCCATCATGGACATTCGCAGAGTCAGACCCCCAAAC